CGTTATCACGTACAAAAAAAATTCTTATATAGATGTAATTCTTGCATTTTTATTTTCATCTTTTGCTCTCCTTTTTTAATTATCTTTGCTAGTGCAGAAAGTGAAACAAGGTTGCGGAAATCACTTCCTCTCTTCATATAATCCCACCACTAATCACCTAAATCATACACACCCATCTCTATGGGTATGTCTCCCTCACAAAAAGAAAAAAAAACAAGGCATTTAATTTTCAAGTACATAAATGAAAGCGAGATGTATACACATAAGACATGACACAAACTCTTATAAAAATCAAATCAAATAAAAAATAAAATCAGATAATATCATATCTGACTGTCAAATAATGAACGTAACTAAAAACATAGGGTAAAATGATAATTTTAGAAAAGCTTATAGCTATTATCTGATTAATTTTAAAATAATATCTATACAGATCCTCCATTTAGAGTTTTCTTCTTAAAACGATGTAGGATAATATCACATCACACATGTGACATGTGCAATGTTTTTCTTGATACATTAAGGAGCAGGACCATTCTTGTCGGATCCTCTTTGTGAGAATTTTCCAATCACATCCGTTTATCGTATATTTATTTAAATATAAATAATATTTGACAAAAACTGACAGCTATGATGAATGGATGTGATTGGAGGATCTTTGGAATCCTCAAAAAGAGGATCTGGTCCATTAAAGAGACCAAGATCGTGACAGGTGGTACCACTACCACCGTACAACACCCCAGCGACGGCGAACCACTAACGCGGCCGATTGACGGTCCACGTGAAAGAAGATGGGACCCAACGTGAGGTCGTTGGTGCGGGGTCCGTTCGGAGATGCGTCGGTGCACGTGCTGTGCATTATTGCCTGAGGAGGTTCTTAGATCAACTCGGCGCCGTTTTCGCACCGTCACCCGCCAACATGACTTAATGGGTGGCGTGCTTTGATTGGCTAGCCCACGTGATTCTCCTTCCGTTAACGTCGGTGGAAACGTTTCCCGTTATGGTTCGTTCCCGTGTGGGAAGATTCTCTCTCTATGCTTGTTTCCCGAACTTGCCACTCGGTGCGAGTAGCGTGACGTGTCGTTATATGATTGGGTAAGAATCTGGGAGGAAGAATATTATTGGCTGTTTCAGCAGGCTTCATGTCCCGCGAGTGATGGCGCGTCTTAGCGGGTAATACCGAAATTAGGTCTATAAACTTTACCGTTAAAAAACAACAAACGTAGAAAAGCAATTAGGGGATCTGTTTTGGAGGAAGAGATTCTCTCCGGATTCACTTTGTCAGGATCCTATAAATCTTCACATTTTAATCGTTTATCGTATATCGTGCGTCAAATTTTCATCAGATACTATTTACGTTTAATTTTAAATAAAAAAATCAAATGATTTCTGATCGCACGATGTATGATGAATATCTGAGATATGAACATCCAACAATTTGAATCCGGATGGGATCCAAATCCTGTTTTGGATGCATGCTTTGCTGCCACATGGTTGGGTTAGGCTTTTAGGCTTCTCTCTTTTCGCCAAACCTCAAATTTACAAGTTGAGAAATGTTATTATCTCAAAATTGGAACTCATTATCTGTCACCTGACAGTTTAATGTTACTTTTCAAGCAGTAATTATAAAATACTATACTAAAATCATGAGCTGGTAGAGAGTTTATGGTGAGTCTCACTATAAGAAAGTCCCATTCTTTACTATTAATTTTGACATAAAAATTGATGTTAAACTGTGCAGTGACAGAGAGTCTATGGAGAGTCTTACTTTTAAGAAGTCTCCTTAGCATTTCTCTTGAACCATATTTACCAATTGTTACTCTAGAAAGATTGCATAATTGTTATTTACATGTACGTGATCTAGTTATGGTTGTTTTTACTTTGTGAGTCATACAAACATGAATAATCACAATCTATCTATAAATGCATGCGCGATAAATTTTAGTGTTTTCGAAGTCACATAAGCAGATCCATCTAGTCAGTAAGGTAATCAAGAAATACATCGTTACACCAAAACCTCAAACATACTAAATCTTGTAATTGACATCAGCCTACATAGGTAAAATAAGCATTAAAGTTTACAAATTCTGCAACTTTTGAAACACATTATACTTCTAACATGACACAAGTACGTCACAAAACACACCATAATTTAACCCTCGTTTTCCCACTCTTTATGGCAAAAAGGAAATGGAAACTAAAAGGTAAATACTAGGTAAAGCCAATAAAGACATAACAAGCTAACAACAGAAAGAAAAAAGGGTAATTAAGTCGTTAAAACAATGATTAGTAAGTAGTAATTGAGCAAATGAGCTCCAATCACGGGTTAGGAGTAAATTAAGGTTAGTTTTTGTGGTACCAAACCAGGGGCGGATCAACTTAGGGACAAGGGGGGGTCAGCTAACCCTCAGTTCGGTAAATCTTCATAGATGACTTGAGTCTGCTCCTTTGTAGGTTGGAGTTGCTCTTCATGCATGCCTTCCAACTGCTTAATAAACAGCCTGAGAGAGAGAGAGCTTGGACTGTTGGGCAGCAAGGCATGCTTGGCCACAAATGAGGACTTAAAAGGCGTGCAATATGTCTTTGCAAATGACTTTAGGCATGTCAAGATTCGATGAAATTTGCATGCTATATCAGTAAAAAAAAAAAAATTTGCACATTACACACGCTATTCTTAGAGACCCCCCAATAATATTTCTTGGATCCACCACTGTACCAGACTCACAAACCCAAATACATAATTTGCATGCACGAGTTGTGAAATGTTGAATGTGATTGATTAGGTTTTTGGCACGCGCTTGCAATTCTATTCCTTCACCCACAAGTTTTAGTTTGGATATATAATCTACTTTTTGAAGGCATCATTGCCTTGGCGACAATCTTCTTCCCCGTATTGCGCTGGGGCCTTAGATGTTGGCCTTCATTATTTTTACGGTTGTATGCATGGCGTGATGGCATTATAACATCAACACTCGCTCACTTCCCCTGCGCTCCAGAAGCTAATCACTTTATGTGTTCCACTATTTCTTAATTTGCTTTGCTTCAACAGCACTACACTTTGTAAAGTAGATTATTGGATACCTCACTTTTCCCATTTCCTTGTCTTGCGGGCCATCATCACACGATTTACCAAAAAACCGTTACTTATGGTTGATTTTGAGTGATTTTTTGCCGTTGATACATGTGGAGTCTGTGGTCATAATAATCAGAAATTACATGTGGGCGTTTTTGGGACTGATGTCAGCAAAAAAAAAAAAAAAAACAAAACAAAAAGTCTTGTAAACTAAACTTACCTACGACCATCTCCTCATATTATTTATGTTTATACATTGATTCTAAAAATTATAAAACTTGTATGGCGCTCAGGTCGAGTAACTATGAATTAATATTAATTATATATTTTTTGTGAATGCGGGTGTCCCAACTTACAACTGAGGTCGGTCAGGCGAGTAGAATAATGTGATGATGGTGTTGAATGTGCTGCTGACTTTTGCAATTGAGTACTTACGGCTGATGAAGGAACACCTTTAGGCCTAGAGTTCTAAAACCTGAATGCAAGGTTGCCTAATTCACTACAAAGTTTAGGATCTCCTGTACCAGGTTTGGCTACCTCAACTATATTCGTGAGAATATATGTGCTCCAAATCGGGCAAAGATACTAAAAAAGAGATGAGTGTTTTTATGGTAAATATGGTTTGACCGTCTGAATGTCGAACTACAAAATGAACTTGAGAGTAGTTAATCATAGAACATTTCATTGCGCCAGAAAGCTAATGAAGTGACCTCTTTCAGCGAAGGAATCGAAGATTCTTTACTGGCTAAGACTTAGATAGATAATCGAATGAACTAGAAGTAGTGTTGTTCCTCCGAACTGAAGGTACTTCTAAAGCGATTAGTTCTACAACTCCAGTGATGTTTCGATGAACAACCACTGGTGTTCCAACGAACTGAAGATGTAGTGATGGAGGGGTTTAGGATAATTAGTATTATTCTCAAGGTTATGAGAAGATTTTGCGTAGATCGTTTGAGTTGTTTGTTGAGTTGAAGGGACTTCTACGTTGCAAAACATCATGTATTTATAGAGATGAATTCCTTGATGGCTAAGTCTACCGAATAATATTATTCTAATAATATTCCAATTATTCGGCATATTCTCCAAGTAAACTTGAAATTATTCTCGGCTGAAACTCTATTGTTATCGAGTCTCGTCGTCTTCGACTAGGAATCTGAACCTAAATTGATTAAATGATTGATTCAACCTTTATCCGAAAAGCAATCATGATCCTTAAGATTTATTTCATCTAACAACTTACAATATATAGGTCAAATGCGTGCAAAATCGAGTCCAAACAACTTGTTAATTATTTCAGAGTTTCAATGCCTCCAATACATTATTCACCATGTTTAGGGATGGGCAATGGTTATGTGGACGGGTAACCGCGGTTACTTTACCCATAACGGTTTATGTTCATACCCGCATAACCGTTTACCCGTTGGGTAATTACATAAATGGTTATACCCATAACCATAACCGTTTATAAACGGTTATCCATACCCATAACCGTGTACCCATTTACCCATAACCATTTACCCATTTAACCATAACCATAACCATTTACCCGTTTACCTATTTTTTCGCTCATTTATCCTTTTTTTTTACCCATTTACCTTTTTTTTTGCCCGTCTACATTATTTTTTTTAACAATTTGAAAATTACAAAAGAAAAATTTGTCATAATTTTTATTTTCTGACCATTAAACACCGTTATAAGTACATTTTAGCATACATTTCCCTATTTTAATCATTTAAGTCCTCGTATAATTCCAATAATTGAAATAATAGTTTACGAACGATATTTTTCTGTATAGCAACCAATCAGTTTTTTTTTATTCTGAATAGCAACCAATAAATTATGGAAGTTCAAGAACCTGAGAAAATTGAGCCTAAAGGAAGAGTAAAAGTAGAGCTTTTTTATTTCTGAATTCCCGAATGATTTTTAAAGCAACAGCTCATAAATCTGTGTTTCTGATAACAAAAAACAACCATACGAAACCAACCAAATTTCATCTAATTCATCACAAAACTGAGTTAACCCTCTATTATTTCATATAATTTCATCTAATTGAAATCTGTGTTTCGAACACGTTCAATCACAAAGTATCATCAACTCGTTGTCACCAAAAGAGGCCTACAAAAGAAATGTATAATTGAATTAGTATGCATAAATTGAATGAGTATCACCAATAACTCCAAAGTAAAAAAATAAATAAAGATTAGTTTTTACCACATTCACATCAGTATCATCACCGAATGAAGAATCTTCAACACGAGTAGAGTTTGAATCTGGTTGAATAGTAAAATTAAAATTAGGCTAAAATAGTAAATTTTTGAACATATACATAATTTATATGAAATTTTACAGTAAGTACCTCGCATCTGACCCCACAACCAGTCTCGAGAACACATGAGTGCTTCCACTGTGCTTGAATGAAGTCGGCTACGGTGTGGACTAATAATCCTACCACTAGTACTAAATGAAGACTCTGAAGCTACTGTAGATACAGGAATAGCCAAAATATCTCGAGCTATCTGATGCAAAATAGGATATTTAATCCCATTTGTCTTCCACCACGACAATATATCAAAATCTTGAGTCCTAGGCAAGACTTTCTCCCCCAAATATAGGTCTAAGTCAGATTGTTCATTATCGATGGTAGAATCCATAACAAACTGGTCATAAGATGTTAAAGGATCACCAACTCTGAAATCAAATGACTGTGATGGAAAATCAGTCGAAGAAGAAGATTCAGAAGACCGATGCCCAGGTCTATGCTTCAATTCATACTCTTTGACCAACTTAACAGCCAAGTCAAAAATTTTCTCAATTTCTGATGGAGCATTCTCTTTATAAATAAGAGAAAAATAATACTCAATCAATTTCATCTTGAACCTTGGATCCAGAATAGCTGCAATTTCCATAGCACCATGAATTTTATGCCAATACTTTTCAAACTTGATTGACATCTTTGTTGCCATTAACTTAACTTCAACATACCCATTGATTTGTATGTTTGATGGACCATTGATTTGTATGTTTGATGGTTAATTGGTCTCATATGCTACGTATACAAGGGTCCACTTATCTAAGCATACAAATCAATATTAGATCCCCTGCAAACTGCTATAATATGGTTTTTAGTTTGCTAATTAAAAGCTTAACATGCATGGATTAACAAGAATATAAAAAAACTGATGGGCTTGTGTTTTGTTTTGTGATGAGTAATTATACTCATCTTTTTACCAGACTTTGGGTAAGTAAACGTAACTGTCAAGGATGGGAAGTTGGGAACATTTGTTCGTATAAAATGGCGGCATTTAGCACAGCAATTATACTTGGGGCTACTTTCTGTCGGTGCCCCTGCAGGTCGTTGCATACTTGACTCCTACCCCCCCAAAAAAGAAGAGAAAATTGCATACTAAATTGGGGTGAGTCTAAATCATCCTGTCTCTTTGTTATATCTTGCCGTGTGACCAATGCAACATAATTATGTACGGATGCACGTACTTTTATGGGTATCAAAACATTAGGGAGTGATTCCACACATCTCTTTCACTTTATTTTTCTACTATTACATTCAACAAACCAAATGATAATAAGGGGCATGAAAAGAAAAGGTAATTGGAGCAACGGACCTGAAGTTCAGTTTTGAACTAAAAATTTGTGAATATTAGTCCTTCAATTTGTTGTAATGTGGAGCAATGGTTCTTTTGACTAACTAAGTTAGAACTTCCATCCAAAATAAAGGAACAAAAAATGGATGCTAATTCTGACGGAGTTAGCCAAAAAGACTATTGTTTCACATTGTAACAAGTTCAATGATCAATACTTGTGGATTTTTAGTTTAGAGACCAAAATTCCAATTGGGCTGAAATTCAGGCACTATTGCTTCAATTTAAACCAAAAAAAAAAAAAAAAAACCAAAGATTTGCCATAAGGAAAAATGAATGTAAAAATCATTTCCCAAACAGAATGACCACAAAACATAAAGAATTTCAATAAACCAAACTAAATCGATGATGTAGGGTTGGCTACACTTTGGCCAAATCATTACCAACATGGTTAGTTCAGTTTACAGTTTAGGTCATAAACTGAAAGAAACTAAATCTTGTCCACCTTTACTCAAAAGGATAAGGGTCGTTTAGTGGGCTGGATGAGATTTGGTCTTAAGGATAGGTTGACTGATAGAGACATGTAAGACAAGGCTTGTAAAACACGACAAAGATAGGTTCGATAACCACTCTATTGTAGAATCATAACCAATAATGTTCAATCATGTCTATCACACATTTGACACAACAAATAAAGGAATGAACTCAAGTCTATTTTAATTGGTCATAACCTATCCCAACCAAACCACCAAAAAGGCCTAATGCCACATAGACAAACAAATATAACCATGGTGTATATGGGTTTCACCTATATTTAGATAAGTGGTTTTTGGCTTGTTAAATAGTTTGTTTTTGTATTAAATTCAGAATATTTGTGAGAGAAAGTATTTTGGGCCCCAAAATGGCCCAACACTTGTCCAATAAAAAACGAAACGTACATAGCCCAATTTTTGTTCGAGATTGGGCCACTATGGGGCAGTTACTAGCCCAATAACAAATTAGCAGTATACCACCTCTCACTTTTCAAGTTTTGAGCATCAAACTTGCGAAGCCAAAATTCCGACCACACCAACTGAAATTTAAATCTCAACGGTAATATGCTTCGAGTCCTAAAACCTCTTTCTGGACTCAGCCCCAAGCAACATTCACTTGGGCAGCTGCAATCGAGGTACAGATATCGCCGCCACCCCAAAAACGATGGCGGCGGCGATGGCGTTTGGAAAACAGAGGAGAAGAAGGATGGTTATTTGCAATTGCACAAGAACAAAGGGCAGCACCTCTTAACCAATCAACGAATTCTCGACAGTATTGTTCGAAATCCGCGATAAAACCTACCGACACCGTCCTCGAGATCGGACCCGGCACCGGAAATCTCACCCTCAAGCTTCTAGAAGCCGCCCAGATGGTCGTCGCCGTCGAACTTGATAAGCGGATGGTGGAGGTTCTTCAAAAGCGAGTTGCGGAGAGTGGGGTTCAAGATCGTTTGACTGTAAGTTAAACGCCGGTTAAATGTTCGATGAAATGCCTGAACGGGATTTTGAGCATTTGGAATGAATGACATTGGTTAAGGCGTTTGATGATTGGTCTTTTTGCAGGTTATCTGTAAAGATGCATTGAAGGCGGAGTTTCCACCGTTTGATCTTGTTGTGGCGAACATTCCATACGGAATATCTTCGCCTCTGGTGGCTAAATTGGTGTACGGGGCAAGGCCGTTTCGGAGCGCCACACTGCTGCTGCAAAAGGAGTTTGCGAGGAGATTGTTGGCTAAGCCAGGCGACTCGGAGTTCAACCGCTTGGCTGTGAATGTGAACCTGGTGGCGGATGTGGAGTTTGTCATGGATGTGAGCAAGAGGGAGTTTGTTCCTTGCCCAAAAGTCGATTCATCCGTGGTTATAATAAGGCCAAAACCTGAGGTTCCGAACGTTGATCTAAACGAATGGTGGGCTTTCACGAAAGCTTGTTTCTGTAAGAAGAACAAGACGCTTGGGGCTACATTCAAGCAGAAGAAAAAGGTGATGGAGCTACTGGGGATGTCCAAACTGGCAGGCTCAAATGGTGAAAGCAAAGATTATATTAGCAGCACTGACAACGACGACGATGAAGGAGAGAGTGATGAAGAGGAGTTTTCTCCGTCTCCTTGCTCGGAAATGGGGGCAAGTTCTTTCAAGGAGAAGTTAATGGGGGTTCTGAAATCAGCTGATTTCGAAGACAAGAGGCCTTCGAAGCTGTCGAATGAGGAGTTACTGCATCTACTGGCATTGTTTAATCAAGCGGGAATATATTTTCATGATCAGTCCAAGAGTAGGAATGCAGAGAATGAATCATTTACTGTTGCTTACAGTTGATAGCTATTAGCTTAAACTACTTGGAGGGAAATTCAAATTTGAGCATGAAGAAAAAAGGCACACCGCTCTAATCAATTTGGCTATGTCCAAACTTGCAATAGCTATTAACCTATTAGCTACGTGGTGTTGTCACAATTTCACTCATTAGTTGGGGATGTCACATTTTGGGGATTCTCTAATACAATTAGGGAGTATAATCCAATGATCTGTATCTATCTCATCACGTGACGAGAGAGATACTGATAAGGGATATATCCTAATTACATGTTAGAATCTCTCTAGATTTTGAGGCGCTCACACTTAATTATAGGAGAACCTTACGATAATATGACAATGATCTTATGATGCCCTCACAAATAATTGTTTATAGTTTTTGTTTAGCTAAATTGGTTGAAGCGATCAATTCATAAATCTCAATTAATGAAATGCTCAGTTTTCTATATTTTCATTGATATGTAGTCAGTATTTGATTTTCACCAATTTAGCACAATTATGATTTGTAAAATTGATCATTTCAGTCAATGTTCCTTGCGTCTATTTGTTTTTCCTTGTTTTCACCATAAGCTATACTATTGTAGAAACCTTGAGAAAATGATCAATTTATTTTGTGCCTGAAATTCTCAGGGCACTTGTGCATTCCTCAAATTGATTGTCAATGTAATCTCATGAACAAAATGATCAAAGATCCATGATTCATCATTTGATTGTTTGATTTAGAACATTATTGATGGAAGAGTCTTTAATGAATTTGAAGTTGAAACTCATTCCATCAAAGAGAATGATTGGGGTGGTTATTTGTTCGGTTTTACGTCCGATACCCTATCCATTTGGTCGGCTTTTACTTGCTTTCTTTGCTCACTCCTAGTTAGATTTAACCACTAACTGAGTTAGACAATCATGTGTTTATCTTTCTTATCACGTGATTGTAGAAAGTTTTCGTGGCAACCTAGGAGGCAGGCTTCGACGTGCAACCATGATCACCTTGTTACAATTATGGTACCATGTGTGGCTCCACCAGCTCAAAACTAATTGAATGGTGGTACTGGAACTGGAGCCTGTATGCAGCAGGGTAGGACCAAAGGCAACATTTCTTTCTTTGAGTAGATAACCACCACTCAACTCAAGTTATCAGATCGATGGGGCTTTAAAATAGGAAGTTTTAACAAAACACTCCCGGTACTGTTCACTTTTAATGAAAAACCACATTTTTACATTTCCTGGTACTATTCACTTACACATTTATTTGTTCTTTTTCATTAAAACTAAAGCTTTTGAGGATTTTTTTGTTAGTTTTTCTTTAAAAATATGGGAGTTAGATTCATTCAAACCTCACTTGTATAATTGCATTCAATTTTTCAAGGGCCAAGAAGAAGGAGCCAGCCAAAGGGCCCAAAAGCACCTGCAATTTACAAGATGGCGACACAAGAACTACCCTATAATAGTATAATACACTTAACATGGGGGCTTGTTAGATTTCATGATTGGTCTTTTATAGTTCGGAAAAATGCTAGGATCAGTCGTGCATGCCTGTGACAGCATGACGGGAAGCTAGTCCTGGCCACTAATGCTTGTGATGCGCATGTGTGGGTGATCCTAGTAACTCTTTGTTTATTCAACTGGTTGCTATTTGTACAGATAAAACTAACTTTCTAAGTGTTTATGGACGTGACTTTAATGGGCAACTTCCTCTTCATCTTGACCATTGGAAAGTGAACAATGTCATCCTTCTCAGCAACCCATCTGAATTGAAGAACCAAAAAAAACTTCAGCAAGTGGAAATTGCAGCAATTGGGTTTTATTTAACATTTTTTTTAATTAACGGCAATTTTAATACCTATAATTGGTGACAAGATGATGAAGAAAGATTGATAATTCAAGCCTGGATAGCTCCAAACCAGGGCACAGCCTCTGTCCTCCACCAAAGGGTGTAAAACTAGTGTTGTAGTTTACAGCAGCTTCTAATTTCTGTCAAAGAAAACATATTTGCATAAAAATTAACAAATTTTCAATAAATTAAAAAGCTGACGTTCTACTTGTGATTTGTTGACTTTGCGGTACAACTAAAGATTAACATGTATGATCTTTGATTTGACGAACACTCGATTGGATCGTCATTACACCAACTATTCCATCTAGGTGGCGTAAATTATCTCTTGAGTGGTATAATCATAGTTACCAAAATAAGATAAACTAGGAGGGTTTATCTTACCTCCCATCTCCAAGGATCAAACTGGTATGGGTTTTTATAGTTTTCTTCATCCATGTGAACAGAAGTAAAAGATGCCAAGACACACCATCCTTTTGGTATCAAATAACCTGGAAAAAAAAAACAACATAAAATCATAGGCAAAACGAAACCGAGATATTATTGATAGTTTAAAAAAATCGTTCTAAATTCCTCCTTTATAGAAACACGAGGGAAAAAATACATGCGAAGGATTACAATGGGGCTTTTTAAAGAATGCTAATAACAGCTATCAACGAAAATAATAATTAATTTCCTTTTTGCTTCAAATAAATAGTGATATATACCTTTGATTTCAACATCCCTTTGAGCTTTTCTCCAAACAGCATTGATGATATTTGCCATTCTAAGAGTCTCACTTATCACCTTAATGAAAAAAAAAAAAAAAAAAAATAGAGCAATTGACCAAAACGAAAACCTAATCTCGATTGTCAAAATAATTAGACGTGTTTTATAGACTCATCATATAATCCTTATCGACTCGTCATTTCACTCTTATAGACCCATCATATTTTTAGAACGGTTAGTTCAGCACTTAACAATAAAAAAAATCAAGAATCATTTTATATATATTGGATAGTACTATTTATATTCATTTTTACCTTCTACACATACTTGTTAATTTTTATCCATTGAAAGTCTTCAATTCATTCGATTCAATGACCGAAGGATGTGTGAGAGATAAAAATCGATGTGTGCATACCACCACCCTTTATATTCTCTTTGAAACAAATTGGGACTCACATTTTGAGTAAATGGCAAGGACATGTAATCAGTCCATGCATAATTTTCCGTGGAATCAGTCTTCTTCTTCTTCTGCCTCTTCAATTCCATGTTCTCCTCCTGCAAATATATATAACAACAAAGAACATTCTGATCACTAAAAATACCTTTTGTGGTACAGCAATCATACTAAAAATATCAAACTGATCACTCAAAGTATTTCACTTTTTCACCCACTTTCTCAGAATTTCGCAGTGTCAGAGAGAAGAGAAACAAAGGGTTGTATTCTGTGACAATGTACTGCACCAAACAGTTCTTAGATTCATCTTCCACTATGATGTTCTTAATAAATTGCCTTTAGCCCTACATGGGGTTTAAAGTTTGGAACCCAACTCTTTTCAGAACTTTCTCGTCACAACTCTCTCGCATGAAAGTGAGATAATGTCGCAACATAAACTACTTATATTGTCATAATGTAAATCTTGTGAGTTAGTCAATGTTTGTTTTTGCCTGAATGTGCATGGTGGGTTCATAGTTTATAACTCATAATGTACTTTTCTTTATCATAACTATCGAGTCTCGTTTTTATGACTATGATTCATGATCGTCAACTCTCTTTCATATCACATATTGAGATTAGAATAGTGAAATTATTTATAATTATTATTGACTTTTGATATAAACTTTAATGGTAAGTGAGAAAACAAATTTCATGTAATTCATACGATATATCGTGGACTATAAAACCTAACATAATTTTACTTACAAAAAGGGTTGCTGACCCGAGCTAAGTGTCGTATAGTGACTGTACGACTGTGCCCTAGTGGTCGTAATTCGCACAGAAACGACGTTAATTATAAGAGTGGTCCCTCATCCAGAAGCCGTTGGATTTGCAAATCCTACGGCTGAAAACTGTAACAAAGTGGGGACCTATTCCCCGCCACACAAACTCTCCATGTCTGACTCAGTGCATGCAGTCGAGTTTCTAAAGGAAGATGATTCTTTTTGGATTCACTTTGTAAGAATTTTAAGGATTCTTATATTCTAACTGTTTATCGTATATCATATGATCAGTTTTCATCAAATACTATATATATTTAATTTTAAATTAAAAAATTTAAATCATTTTTAATTGCACGATAAATAATTAAGATGAAGGGATCCTCACAATTTACTTCCCCATGGAATCCAAACCCGTTTCTAAAGAAACGAAAGCAAAGTTTGTAAGAAAAGTCAAGCACTTTAGAGATAAAGTGACTGGGCCCACAGACTCAGTACAAAACGAATCCTAGCCGTTCGATTAAGAAGCAATGAGTAAACCGTTGTGATGTCAACTGAGGTGGATATACGTACGTACCCGTAATTTGTCTAAGGCCACAGGGCTGTCACTTAGAAATTTGACGGCTAGGGTCATGGCCATGGGAACAGTCTCCTCTCCTGGGATCATCATCTCTATTATATTTCCGGTGATGAAATCCAACGGCAGGCCTTGAGCCTCGTTGTTTTGGTCACCACCTTCTAACAGCACATCCATTGCATCTTTTACTGGAATTGTATTTTGAGGACAATTTATATTCTCCATTGCTACCTTTTTCATGTCTAATATCTTCCCCACCATCTTCAACAATCGCTCTCTAGCCTGCCAGCAAATGAATCATGATACATCCACACAAATAACACCAATAATTGAAACAAAACCCTGGATATGAGTAGTATTAGAGTAGCGGAATTCAATCGAACTTGAGATCACGGGTGCAAGAGTGAATTAACTGAGCTAACAAACCCTTGCAAATATAAGCATGCACTAAAGTTTAAACGCAAATAATTCACACGTACTTTACCTTGAGAGATTTATATAGCCTTGTTCCAGGGAGCTTGATAGGTATGCAAATTAATCCTTTGATGTACTCTTCAAATTCTCTCTTGAGAAGGTTTAAGTCTTCACCAGGATTAACGCTCATTAATACTTTAACCAGTACTTCAAAGGTAATCTGAAATATCCAAAAAGATAGTATACACTACATAAATGTTCTCACATGTATGATGAAAGAAGAGCACTATATATAGTACATTCAATCGCTCATGCACGCCCTCGTTCGTTAATACAAGAATGCTTCAACAACCAAAATATGCACATACAATTGAAGGGCATACATTTGCAATTCTATGTGATATGAATGACAATTTCCTATCGTATATCTAGCATGTTATGTTACAACCAATTAATATGGTTCACTTTGTTCAAATTTTTACTTTGGCATGTAAAATGTACTACTTGAGCACATAGATAGTTGGGGGACCTTTTGGGTTTCATCTTGGACGTAAATGGGAGACTGCATGTCTCTCCAAAGAGCCAAGTTGAGTTTGATTGAGTTTTCGATGTCGGTGGTGATTCGAGCTTTGAACTGTGGTGATTTCAGAAAACCAGCGATGAGTCCATGCACTCTCTTATGAAGGCTTCCATTTGTTTGGAGAATGGAGTATTTTCCCATCAGTTCTGTAATTGATTTCGGATAAGCAGGAATGAAAGTATTTCCATGGTTTTGCATTACCACCTTGTTCACCTCAGCATCCGTGGATACTATGATAGGAGTCCCCAATATGTTAGTCTTGAACACCTTTCCATACCTATATTTAGAGAGGCACATTGTTATTAAAAAATTCTAGTGTACTCCGGTTTATAATTAACATGCATCATATAAATAGAGAGTTGAATATACAATTCAGAATTGAACAGACTAAGAATCTAACGGTTAAGAATCCCAATACATACTATACACAGATGAATATTAGAAAATCTTATTGCGAGTATATATATAGGATCTAGAAGCCCATGTATATCATATACTGATAAATACTAGAAAATCACATTGTACGTGTACACTATACATTATCAAAGAGGATGCATACTATACACCAATTCGCTGATACATACTAGAAAATCGAATTACTCAAGCCAATTAAATTTGCTAGTTTATCATTGATGATAGGATATGTATGGTCATTTTTGTTGGGAGGCTGAAATCTATGGTCCCATGGAGAATAGGATGTGTTGTTAGTTAGTTAGTACAGAACTGCAGAAAACAATAAAGGTTGGGGGAAGGTCTATTTTCAAGGCTTCCCAGCCAGTTAATTAGTATATATAGCAGGCTTTTTCTTTCCTTCTTTTAACTCCTTGGGGTGGCTCCTTTTACACCTTGTTTCTTTTTTCTGCTATGGTCACCATCTGCCATGAATGAAGAAATTCCATTCTTTTATTTTATTTACTTTATTTATAGATGTTGGTAACACTTTCTTGTTGCCCTGCCGTGCCTGCCCATTAATTTCTTATTTTCTTTGTTTTAAAATTATTTTATGACACAATATTCTATTCTATACTTTTATAAGCCAAACGACCTAATAAAAATTATTTACGGTGGTAAACAAATGTTGTTTTATATTCGACATTTTATTTTAAGAAGGTGGAAGAATTGGACTAAGACAAATTTGACCTGTCATAAAAATTAAATATCAAACTGTCATCTAAGTGAATTAAAATGGAAACTTCCTACTAAGTATTAGAAAAATACTCGTAAGCTGCCATGTAATGAGTCATTATTTTTTTTTATACTAAGAGATACGTGGTAAAAGGAAAATATTAACTTAGAACTTGGGGTGGAGAAATAAATGTTCTAAATAACAACTTGAACTATATGAATTGTTATGGTGGATACGACATTCCTTCTCAACCCATTCTACCTCGAATTTCTCTTTTCTTAGTGTAGCTTAAAATAATAAAATCGCTTAAAAAACACATTAAACTACAAATGCTATAAAATCATTATTTCATGTCTCATCGTTGATTATCACTTTATATTTAAAACATATATTTGAAAAGAAAAAAAAAACTAAAACATATATATTTTAATGTTTAGTATATATTTTCATGTCTCTTCGTTGCGGATGCTTTGACGTCTATTGGCCTAAATAGTTCGAATCTTTGGGTTTAAGGGGTTTTTCTCTCTAATATATATATATTTTTTCTATCAAAAAAAAAAAAAAATTCCATCGGTTAACGTTATCCTTTTCTTTCTTCTTATCTCTTTTTTCTGGTACATGTTAGATGATTCCCATTAAAAGCAATACCTTTACCAACTCGAATCTCTTTACCAACACATGAACCGATCCAACCCTTAACTTTTAGGGAATAAATTTTTCTTCCATAAGAGTTCTACAACATCAAATAATCATGGTTGAATGTTTGGGAAAAATCTAAAAATTGAAAAGAATATCACCAAAGAGCAGGAGTACGTCTGAAGTTCATTGAAGCACAGCAGAGCAATAAATACACACATATATTTGTATAATATGCTATATCTATATCTATATATTTGGATACTTTATATAGTTTAGCCTCAAGGCCATAATTCCCTGATTAGGATAATAATAATACGAAGAAAATAGAATTAAATCAGAAACTAGTACTATTTTCCGACAAAATAATCCAATATTAGTAAGGGTAGAGAGAAGGGAAGAAGAAAAGGAGCGAGAATTCTTACAGAGATCTGCGTTTTTCCATGAAGCTGACAGGTCGAGAGGTGTAGCCACAAGCAATGAAGTCAAGGGTTTCTCCTATGAAAGGCCAACCTAACTTCCCTTTTGGAACTTGACCCTTTTGATTTTCCCTCTCTTTCTTGTTCTGGTCCTTAAACCAATACAATGATCCTACAAGAATTCCCACCAAAACCCAACATCCCAAAACCCATCCCATCCTCACAAAAAGTAGAAGGATAAAAAACTTTTGGTTCTTTCGAACTCCTTGTGATGTTTATGTAAATCCCTGGTTGTAGAAACCTAGCTAGATCAAGGATTCAAAACGCTGGAGTTAGCCTAATGGCAAGGATGGATAGAATGATAAGTAGGAGCAGGTTAGGTTCAGAGTTGGAAGTTGAGTATGAGTAACACAGAGATTTTTTGAGCAACCCAACTGCTGGTTATGAGCTTCTCACTATTCCATGCAACTCCAACTAGCTAGCTCTCTCTATATACCGTAGTGTTTTTGTGTGTGTGTGTGTGTGTGTGTGTGTGAGAGAGAGAGAGAGAGAGAGAGAGAGAGAGAGAGAGGTTGTTGTTTTTGAGGGTTGAAATGAATTGAATTGAATGAGAGGAGGATCGAGTGAGAGATTCGGAAGATCAATGAGGTTTCAACAGTCATTAAAGAGGTGGTCATATTATTATCATTATTGGGTGCACCAAATATGTGACACGCTTCCATTTGATATTTTCCCCTCCATGTTCATAATTTTATAGAGTGATAGGATTTTAAGTGGATTTTACTTAATGGAAAAAGGGGGAGAGGAATATTTCCTTGTAATTTGATATGAGATTTCGTTGGTCTTGAGTATATTCATAATAATGTTTTTTTTCTTAATAGCAATGTTGGAGTGACAATGACATTATTGCTTTAATTAAAAAAAAATTCATGGACTAGCAAATAATCTCTCTATCACACTTTTCATTGTTTTTTTCGAAAATGTTTTTCGCACTTTTCTCTTTCTGGTTATACACTCCCTTTCTTTTTTAGGACTCAGAAGTTAGAAACAAATAATAGGGAAAAATATAAGACTAAGAAGAGTAATAGGGAAAAAGTTTTAAATGGTTTTTAGACAAGTATTGATTTACAGCTAATTTAAATTGCAAAAAAAAAAAAAAAAAAAAAAAAAAAAAAAAATTCAACATTGAAACTATAAGCTCTTTGATGACGGTATGTTCTTCGGTTTTTATGACACTCAAACTCCACTTTTTTCAAAGAAACTAGTTAGTCAAACTATAATTTTAAAGGATTTTAAAAGTGATAGATTTGATAGGATTTAAGAAGATTAAAGACTCCTACAAAATTCATATGGATTTTAAAGAATTTGAATGGATTGTGGTGGATTGTGGGGGAATGATTTGAAATCCTAGGAGGTGAGGTTGTATTCTTTTTAGTTTTGGTTATACATACTTTTTGCTTTCAAATCCCACAAAATCCACAACTTATTGAAATCCTTCAAAATCTTAATTTTTTTAATACACTTAGATTTGGATGGATTCTAAAATCTTTTAATTGACTACACCTAGATTTTAATGGATTCTAAAATCCTTTAAAATCTTTTAATTGACTACAATAGGATTTTAAAATCTTTTAAAATCCTCTCAAATCCAAGTTTGACCACACCCCCTAAATATCATAAATTTAGTTGTTAAAAGAATAAATAAAGAAACTTGTCAAATAAATAAAGAAAATTATTGGAGCCAAAAAATAAAAAAAATTGTCAACCTCATCTTTTTATCTCATTTGGAATGTGTTCAACAACGACCACCCTATAGCTTTTTAGGTTTGAAAGAAACCTAACAAGGGGGAGTCTTCTAGTTTAGTAAAATACTTTATAACCAAGCTCACGAGTCACGACATAAGTTCGGCTCTTATTATCTGGACTCTTTGAGAATAAAAATAACAAGAATGAAGGAATTATAATATGAGAAATAAAATAGTGGAGTGATTATAACATGAACATACTTAGTGCAACAGTTAATTAACATTATTATAGAATCTTTTGCATTGTTTATTCACATTGCCCATAATGATTAAGTGAGTGTGACCTAAAGTACCAAACGAATTACTATTTATTTAGTACTCCAATCATATCCTCAACATTATTCGTTAATGCAAAGACACGTGTTCTTTGATTATGACGCCTAGAGGGGGAAAAGTGGAACTCTAGTGTAGTATCTCACATCGGCATGGTGAGGGTTGGTTCCTGGCATTATATGTACTTGCCCCTCTTCCTAGCATGATGCGTTTTGGGTAGTGATGTTCTCTTGCCTAGGAACAAATCCGTGAGAGCGTGGCCCAAAACAGACAATATCGTGCTACGACGCAGTCGAGATGTGACATCTAGCGTTGCTAATATGATTTTTAACTAATAGAGAAGATTTAGACTCAAAATCTCAACGAAATAGAATACTTTTAATCGATTAAACTTTGGACGCTTTAAATTAATTTTCGTTTAAAAAATTTATTGGAGTCAGGTGGGACAAATCTTGTTTACATTCTAGTTAGAATTCATCCCATAAGTCTTTATGTTTTATATTAAGTTTTACGAGGGATGCTACAATAATTTGTGATTTTCAGGACACTAAAATATTAATTTCTGATTTATTTCTTTAAATATCACTCGTTCATTTTCCGTTGTAGGGTGGAAGATGTCCCAAAGTTTCATATCATTCTCATTTCGCAATTCATTTCAAAGTTTCCAAACATGTGGATTGCTATGAAATAAATTATGTGAGGAAAAAAAAAAAAAGAAGGGAAGGACAAGGGTGATGACTACTGAGACTGCTGAGTGGTATGAGCGGTGACAGACGGGTCTATTCCAAGAAAATATGAGCCGAATTATCTTCATGAACCTCATGTTTATAGAATGAGAGTTGTTAATGAATATGATGTCGTGATGTTCTTTTTCATTTTTAAGTCAGAGATTTTTGTTTTAATTTTTAAAATTGATGAGTTCGTTACTAATTTATTTCCACCCTTATCTATCTCATTGTAAAAAATAAAATAAAAATGTTGTCAAACACATTTATTTCTTTGTAAACTAAAAGAAAGAGTGAAATGATCATTTTAAACGTAAATAGCAGCTTTCGACGACTTCCGATTGAGTTCGTCAATAAATGTCCACATATGCAAGAAACTTTGTCAAATAAATGTTGACATCAGAGCACACAAAGGCAATGCCAATTGTTGCCAAGTCTCACTCATGCACTTTGTCAAACATTTTAAGGTGCACAAAGTGGTTACACCTCAACGACCAAGGAGTCATCGGAGGCGAGCTCAACAACTTTTTTTGGCCACCACGGGATCAATCGACCCCTTTGACCTCAACGTGAATCCGCCAATAAGGATGTATGATGCACACGATTATGTCGGTAAGTCTCTGATGAAAAATCTGCTATAACGATTATTTTTTAAATTATTTTACTAAAATGATAATTTTTCAATATGTTGTCAATGTTTGCTCACAACAATTAAATATTTAGTGACATACTGAAAAGTTGATTGTTTTAACCATTGAAATTTAAGAAATGATGGTTTCTTTTTTGCAAAAAGAAATGAATGGATGCCATAAGAGTGAGTGGTTTGGGTTGCCAGCATGTGAATGCACTTAGGTAAAAAGATGATTGTGGGGGTGGTGCACTCTGAAGGGCCAGTGCTGCTCATAAGTCATTGACCCTTTTCATTTGCTGCTTGGCCTTGGATTATCATGACACTTCAATGTCACCCATTACCATATTGATGATGATCATCATGAACATGTAATCACTCGACTATATAAATTTCACGGCAACAAATGCATAATTTTAGTGACGCCACCGGTTGTATAAGAAATTTTCTCTTATAACAATGTATAGTTACAATAACGTCATCGTTCTAATTAATGTGAAGTCACCAGTTGCACGAGAGTATTTCTCGGAGAACCTAATTGCATATTTGCATTATTTCTGACTGATTTCAAAATTGATTGATTTGTCCATCATCATCAGTGTTACCGTTGGGGATTTGGGTCAAAAGGACCATCCTGCCAAATTTGGGATCTCAATCTTTTGAAGTGTCGGAGTTTGGCAGGGATATGAAAGGGTACCAGAAGTTATGAAGATGTAATCCGTTTAAGATTTGCTATTGCAGAAAGTACTTATGCTATAAGCCCTTTTATTAGAAGCACATCAAGCTCTATTAAAAATCCGATTACTACTTAAAAATAGCACTTAACAGATGCTGCTTCAAAAAGAACTTCCATTAAGTATTTTATGTCTGCAAAGTTCTGCCTTTTATGATAGAAACAACATGGATAAGTTTGTAGTAAAATCTGCTGTAATCACATTCATCAAACAAATGGAATGCCTACTTGAGGAGAACTTCCCTGCACAGCGGCATGCCTGTCGTAAGTTTCTTTCTATCCTGTTCGAGAGATCAAAGGTAGGGAACAGGGTGAAGAGATCAAAATTTCATAAATATCAAACATATGGTTATATCAACTCTTTATACATCAATGCGAAGCACCCTAAACCTTCTCGAAGTTTGAGGTTGTCACTAGTCACTGAGAATGTCGAATCTGTACTCTAAAATAGGGGTGGAAAAAATATTCCAAACCGAAAAAATTCTAATCTCAAATAAAAAATTTCCCAAATCGAAATTTCGATACAAGATTCAGGATTGTCTTCTCAATATTTTGGGAATCCCATACAGAACCGAAAATATATATTATTAATTATTTTATATATATTTATACATATTATATATATTTATATATATATATATATATATATATATATATATAGTTAGAGTTAATTTCAACCATTGGATTGTTTCAAATTGATCTGTGCGGTCCATTCATTGTTACGGTTCTCCAGCTTTCTCTCCATTCATTTCAATTGAAGCTAACCTCCCTCCCTCAGCCACCTAGCCCTCTCATCTCTGTCTCGAATTTGAAGTCAACTCTGGCCCACCACCTCACCATACTATTACTACCGTATCCAATTGTGGAGCCTTTGACACACCCCGACCGAGATCAAGGCATGCTGACTGTCACGTAAGAGTGACGTAGCCATGTGCACAATGCGGAAGCGATAATGATAAGAATTATACGAATAATTGAAAACCAAATTGCTAGAGTGCACTACTAAACAGAAAGTGATAGAAATTAGTTACAACAGTAAACACTCATAATCAGAGCATAAAGTCTAGGTGCAGTCCAGTAGGACAAGTACTAGTTATACAGTACCAGGAATGTCCTACTATTATTTAGATAAGTCAGAACTGCCGATGTCCTCAAGCCACCAACAACAAGCTTACTTAAAACCTGGAGGGGTGCAAAACAGAAAACGTGAGTGGGCAAACAAAAATGTTTTACAAAATCATTTCATTTATCAACATATCTAACCCCTCGCTGTAAAACATGTATAATTTTCCTAGAATCAAGATATAAACATATATATATATATATATATATATGAAATCATAATAATTCAATTCATGCTTTACATAATCATATTCATATGTATGCCATGCCAAAATATAACAAAGTAAACAATCCAGGTAAGAATGATTTCATAGAAAAATGATATGTTAGCCGGAACCCATGTGGTAGTCTGTACGGCTGATTTTATAGCTCAAAAGTCAATCTAGC